GCGGCCGTCGCGCACGCGAGCGCGCGAGACGAACTTCCGGATGCGCCGAAGGCCAGAGGGGCTGCCGACGCGCGTAGCTCTGGCGGACGTCAACCTTCTGCATCAGACACGCGAGCGCGGTGGCAAGGGGAAACAAAGCCGCGGCTCAACCCGCGAGACGCCCCAGCTTCTGGCCTGCGACGCCGACCGAAGATCCCCGGGGATATTCGCGCGACGGCTTGACCTGCTAGAAGCGGCCGGCCTCGGGCCGCCATCCCCTGGAGGTCCTGCGATGGCGGAGCCAATGAGATCGTGGCCCCAGGGCTCTGGCGATTCTGGCGAGGCAGCGATCGCGCTCAATTTCAGCCTTGTCTGCCGCCGACGCCGTCGCGCGATCGCCAGCCGCGCGAAAAGTTTGCGACGCGCCATCCGCGGAACGACCCGGCGTCGCCAAGAGGCGGGAGGGGAGACTTGTCTAGAATCCACGGTGCCTCGATGGGGGGCGCCGCTGAGCGCGCGAAGATCAAGGGCCCGCGCGAAAGCCGCCGCCACGCCCCAAAACCATCGGCGCAACGCGAGCCCTGAGACGGGCAACCCCCAGCGCGCGAGCCGCGCCCGGCAGGGGGGCGACGAGGGCCGGGGAGACGCGGGCCGCGGGAGCGGGCGGCGGCCCGAAAAAACGCAAATACTGAACAGGGAGCTCGAACTGATAGTGACAGGCAGCCACGCCCCCGCCGCGCAGCACAGGAATCACGCGAGGCTGACCCTCCTGATGGGCAGGGGCCTCGCCCGACGGGAGCACCACCCCCAGGGGTCCTTGAACCATAGATTCGGTGCGCGACTATCCCAGGTCAGTCGAAGGGCACCTGGCCTTTCGCGCAAGGAACACGCCACTCTCTTCGAGCGCACCCTCGCTGGCTCAGTGCCCGCCAGACTCCCGGAGCCCCCCCGCCCCGCCCGAAGTCTAGGGCTGCCCCGAAGCGCTGGGACCGAGGTAAGGCCACCGTCGCAATCTACGTCGCGAGTGGCCACCTCCTCCCCCTCCGGCAAAAGCGTCGAAATATCATCGAGCGCGCGCTGCAGGGCGGGAGCGGGCAAGCACTGAGAGACGCCCGCCTAGAGTGCACCGCGGGAAGAGACGCGATCTCGAAGTTCACGCGAGCACCGACGGCCGACGCATCATCCGCATGGCTGCACGCCCCCTGGAGCGCCTGCCACGTCCCTAGGGGGCTCCCGCAGTCAGGGGGATGCGTGCCAACGAAGCAGCACTGCCGCGCGAATTGCTCAACTGCTGAGGCCTGCGCCGAGGTCAAGACCGCCGGCGAGGTAGACGGCGGGTCAAGGGCGCCCAGCTGAAGGCCCGGATGCCGTCGAACAAGCGCCCCTCCGGCGCCCAACGACGTCGCGGACGGCGTCGCTGGATCTGCGACGAGCCCGCGCCACCAGCACCTCCCGCGGAGACCTCCGAGGGGCAGCCAAAGGTCGGTGGGGCGGCGCGCTGCCTCCCGACTGCGAAGGTGAAACCGCCTCAGGGCGGCCCCCACCTGCCGAACCCCGATGAACCCTGAACCCTGACAAGTGGCCCTCGAGGAGGTGGGGCGCCCCCCCTCGCGGCGGCACCAGACAGAGTGGGACTAGGCCGTCAGGCCCGCGCCCCTCGTCGCGGACGCGGCTGGCCTCCTCGCGCGCCTGGCGGCGCTCCTCGGCGCAGCAGCCCGGCCCGCCAGCTCCATCGCCGCGTAGTCCTCCAGCTCTGGCATGACGATCGCGCCACCGCGCAAGTTCGTCACGACTGGGAACAGGGCCTCTCGTTGAGCCAGTCGTCCCACAGGCCGCGCCAGTGCCGACCTCGCGAACCAGATCCATGTCAGGCGTTCTCCCACATCTGGTACTGGCGGCCCACGAGTTCGAGCGCCGCCATGCGCCGCAGCTACAGGTGCACCTGGTCGATCGTCAGCGCGACCCCCAGTAGCTGGGAGAGCAGCAGGTGCTCGTCCACGCCACCATCAGTGGCGGACAAGCCGAGCACGGACCTCCACCAGGAGCGCCTCGGCACCGGTTCCCTCGTAATCATCTCTGTCGCGAAATAGGCTGAGCGAGGGCCCTCGATCTCCCGGCCGCCGACCTCCTCCCTTTGCTGCAGCGCGTTGGCGAAGGTCAGTCTAGAACGCTAGAACGCTTCTGGCCGCCCCGCGTCATCGGGGGGAGCCCTCCGGCGAGCACCGCCCCGTCCTTCGGGAGGAAGGCGCACCAGTCGTTGTGGCTGTGCACGACCTTGCCCGCCTCGAAGTCCTTGAGGTCGCCGCGCGCCACGCTGCCGCGAGACTCTAAGGCGAACCGCTTCTCCGCCGGTCCGCCCTTGGAGTCCCGCGGAGAGCAGGTCCTTCGCCAGCGCCTCGCTCGCGTCCATTTTGAATCTCCTGGCATTGCCGAAAGCGAAATGGTCGATCCGAAACACAGACGCGTCCCCGAAGGCTGGCGGCATGGCGCCACCAGTACCAAGCCGCTTCAGATCGTCACTCTCGCCGAAGTCCTCCTCGAAGATGCTGAAATCCCTGAACGACGACCCACGTCGTTCCCGAGATTGGGCGGGGAGGACCGCTGATGCCATTCTACCTCCGTCCGCCCTCGTCCTGAAAATAGCAGACGAGAGCCCGATTGCCGACCTTGAGCGAGTGAACCCAAGGGGGCGTCGCCACCGTCGCTGTACACGGTCACGGACTCGATCTGGATGATCGGGACGACCTGACGTCGCGCAAGAAAGCGTTCGAGGAAAAGCCCGGCACCCACAGAGATCGCAATCATAACGTCAGGTACAAGCAGCCACCAGACTGTCCCGAGACCGCTCCCGCTATCCACGTTGCAGTGGCAGTCGCGCTGGCACACGCACTGGGTCGGCCGCCCTGCCAGCTCGGCCAGTCGGGCACGTGCGCCTCGCAGACGGACTCAACGGGATTCGGGTATTGGAAGGCGCGGAGGAGCGACGCTTCGCGGAGAGCAGAAAGTGTAGCAAGTAGAGAGCCGAAAGCTTCCATGAAGGTTCCAGTCTTGAACGAAAAAGCCTGCAGAGCGGAATGCGGATGCCAAGGTCCAGTCATTACCACTCGGCACAATGAGCATCATCATCATCAGCAGCAACTGCATCATCATAAGCAGCAGCGTTATCATCATCATCATCATCATCATCATCATCATCATCATCATCATCATCATCATCATCATCATCATCATCAGCATCACCATCATCATCACCATCATCAACATGATCGTCATGATCCTCGTCATGATCATCATCATCATCATCAGCAGCATCATCACCATAATCTGCACGACAACCATCGCTCGTCATCATCAAAAAACGTCATCATAATCATAATCACCATAGTCATCATCATCATCATCATCATCATCATCATCATCATCATCATCATCATCATTATCATCATCAACAGCAGCATCAGCATCAGCATCCGCATCAGCATCATCATCACCACCATCATCATCAGCAGCACCATCATATCATCATACTGAAAATCATCATCATCCTCATCAGCATGATCAGTCGAATCACCATTACCAGCATGATTACCATCATTCAACATCGTCATCACAAGCATAATCATGTCGGCCAGCGTTGACTCCAAATAGATTGGACGACTCAAATCAAGGAATAAGAGGAATCAAGCATGCTTGGAATCCGCAACTCAGAAAGCAAGAAAGCGTGAAAGCAAGCGCGCAAGCAGGCAAGCAAGCAAGCAAGCAATCAGTGGTCGTGGTCGTGGTCGTGGTCGTCGTCGTCGTGGTCGTCGTCATCATGGTCGTGGTCATCGTTATCGTCGTCGCCATCGTCGTCGTAGTCGCTGTCGTTGTCGTCGTCGTTGTGGCCGTCGTCGTTGGATGACGAGGAGGAGGAGGGACGAGGAGACGAAGACGGCGACGGAGGCGGGAGGAAGAGAGGATGGTGGACGACCCCGCCACCAGCGTCAGGGTGAGGAGGGAGGAGGAAGGAGGACGTAGTAACCCAGACCTCCGATGCCCTAACGTTTTCCCATACGGGACCTCTGCAGCTCCGAAACATCACCGAGGGACAAGTTGTTCGTCCCGAGAAGTTTTTTGAAGGTGCCCAGGCCTGGTGAGGACCCCCAGACGCCGAAAATGACGAAAATGCGCTGGCGGTCTGGGAGGAGAGAAGAGGAGGAAGGAGGGAGGGAGGTTAGGAGGGAAGACGGGGGAACGAGGAGGGAGGAGGGAGGGAGGGAGAGAGGAGTGCGCAGGGCGGCGGGGGGGGAGGAGGAGGAAGAAGACTAGGGTAGACCCGAGACGCACCAACGATGTTGCAATACAACCTCCAAATTCCCTCCTCTTATGCTTCGAAAGAAAAAATGCTCATTGCGGGAAACGGCCCAGTCGAATACAACCGTCTGAGAATCCTCAATCGCGCCAGACAATCCGGGAACTTCAGCGCCGCTGATACACGTGATAGATCTGTCCTGACAGTCCGAGACCGTGCCAAAACGCCATGTCTGGGAACTCGCCAACGCGAATCAACGTGACTGTTAGGTCCTGATAACCCTAAATCGTGCCAGAACGCCCTCACTGAGAATTCTACCATACGAATCCTTCATACACTGCTGAAACTAATTGCAATGATTGTGCGAGGCGCTAGAGCGAGAACCACCTGTTGAGAACGACCCGCCATCCATTCCGTGAAACAGTTGCACCTCTCAAGCTTTAGGATCATAACTGGCGAGGGGGTCTCAGGCGAAATGCCGGTCCGCCCTGCCGACACATCTGGGGAAAGGGAGGAGGGAGGTCAGGAAGGAGGCTCGGAGGGGCTATCTGTGAGAAAATGAGATGGAGGGAAGCTGGGGGGGAGGAGGGGGGGAAGAGGTCGGGAAGGAGGAGGTTAGGAGGGAGAAGGGAGGTCAGGAGGAAGCTTGCAGGGAGAAGGGAAGAGGGAGGAACTTAGGGAGGAGGGAGGGGAAGGGAGGCGTGTGGGAGAAGCCCCCCAACGGGAGCTCCTCGAGAGTCGGCAGGCGCCGGGGGGCCACGGAGGCCTTCCCCGCGGGCGCGATGACCTTCCGCGCGAGACGATGCTGGCCGTTGTCCGCGAGCATCCGCAGGACGGTCGCCAGGAGCCCTGCCCGCGGGACATTGGATGGGACGCAGACTGACGTACTGGTACTTGCTAAGGTTTGCCCCCGGCCCTCCTCGAGGATCGAGGGAGGATTTCGGACGATGTCGGACGATAATTAGACGTTTTCGGCCCTTTTCGGGCCTCCAGGGACCTCTGGGGACCTCCTGCGGTCAGGATCTGGGACGGGAGCAATTTCTCGTCGCGCGCGTCGCCCCTGGGATGCGGACGCACACATAGCATTAGCATGTGTGGGTGATGCCGATTACATTTTGCTTTGGAAGGCGCGTACGGCAGGTTCGCGTCTTACCGACTTCGGCGTTGGTTTCTGGCACCGCGGGGATCAAACACCCTTGCAAGGTCGGCTGTTTCCGAAATGTCCGATTATTCAACATCGAGCGATTCAAGGTCTGCACCGGCGTCCAACATTGAACGCCGGCGGCGAGGTCGCCGCCTGTCGACACGACGCGAACCCTCCGTATTTCGCGGTCGTCAAATGATCACGCGGTGGAAACCTGAGGACTTCTTCTGCGAAACTTGAGGAAGCCGCATCCGAACTTGAAGAGTTCCTATGGAGGCCAAAGGAATTTTGTTGGGAGCTACGGAACCAACCAATCATTTGTGTAGGGGGCCCTGCTGACACATGAAGAATTATGTGGGAAATGCGATGACGGTTCCTTCGGTTTTCCCGAGGAGGAAAAGGATGAGAAGGAGGAGGAGGACCTTCGACAACTGTTTAACGCCAGGCGTTATTGCCCAGATTCGGAACATGGGTCCCTCGCAGATCGTTCTGGCCCGAGAAGTGCCACACAAAGGCTGGGTCTAGGGCTCATGTCGTCATAATATATGATGTTCCATTTTGTTCGCGACGTATGTCGCAGACCCAAACAGCAAAACCAAGCGCCCAGCACGGCGCGGGCAAATGCACCAGAGTGCAGCCCCGCACGGCGTGGGCAGATCTGCCCTGGCGAGTCTGCCACCACAACGGGCGCGCGAGCACAAACGAGAAACCACAACTTGTCGCAGGCTCGGCGGTCGCGCGACCTCGTCGAGCCCAGCAGGGCTGCTGCAAAACTGACCGGCGCACGAACGGGGCGAGGCAGAGGCGAGGGGCGGCCGCGGAGGCAAGAAAAAGGAAGGCGGCCCCACCAAGACCAAGTAAGGCTTGTAGCTCGGTGGTTCCAGGATGGGGTCTTGAGGGATGGGAACCTAAGGCCCGAGGGCAGGACGGAGTCCAAAGGCGGATTTACGTTGTTGAGGCACCTCTCCCTTAGGACCCCATCCCTCAGGACTCATCTTCGAACCACCGAGTAGCGGCGTGCTGCGGCCCAGGCTCCAGCGGAGTGCCGCAAGCAGGGCGCGTCCAGGGGCGTCCGGAAAGAGGGCCGTGCACGGACGCACGGCCACGTGGCGATGAGAGCGAGCTCGATCAAAGCCGGTACGCAAGGCCAGGTGGCGGGATGATGGTTTTGCACTGACTAGGCCCAGGGAGCGCGGAGGGACTTTGTTACCACGGGCAGAGCACCAGGAGGTCTGGTTCACCAGGGGCGCACGCGCGGGCTGGTCCCGCAAGGATGCGGCCAGGCACTGCGGAGTTGAGCTGCCCAGAGGGCGGCTGCCCCACCTGCAGGAGGAACTGGCGCCAGTCGGACGGAGCAGGCAAGGGCCGGCTTCCGAGCGGTGCGAGGCGGGCTCAGGCCCAATGGCAGCCTGCCTGCAGAGCGGAGCAGAGAGGCGCCAGACATCGCGCGCCCAGGGGGGAGGGGCAAGAAGCGGGGCGAAGGAAAGCGAGGGGGAGGAGACGGCGCCACGAACGTGTGCAGCGCAAAGACCATACGTGGCATCTGGGCAGGCCCTGCTCGGAGGCCGCCGAAAGGGCCGCCGAGGGGGCAGTCTGACAGTCTGCACGCGCTGGGCTGCCAGGCTGTCCAAGGGCCAAGCCAGGAGTCGGATAGCTCGCGGAGGCCCATGATGCAGCACAAAGCCGCGGCAATATGGGGAAATCCACGAGGGCCCAGATAGACTCGAGGTGGGCAGCAAATGGCGTGAAAATATTCTCGGAGCCGGATGGGCTCGAGGTTGGCCAGCAACGATGCGGCAAAAAGCCGCACTCACTTTGGGAAGCAGCCAGATAGCTGCACATGGCGGAAGACGAGAAGCGAGGAGGAGGAGGATGAGGAGGAGGAGGAGGAGGAGGAGGAGGAGAAGGAGGAGGAGGAGAGGAGGGGCGCCACCGGTGAACCAGGGACACCCACCACCCGGGAGCCAGGCAGGGCAGAAACCCACTCGGAGCAGCGCGCCAGGGTCTCCGCGCAGCCGCCTGCTGTCGCCTCCTCACATGACGACGCCGCGTCAGTGCATCGTGAAGCCTCTCGGCCAACTCCACCACGTCGATCTGCGAGTTCAGTAAGGTGCCCCAGAGCTGTGGGGCCCTGAGGCCAACGGGGGGTAAACAGCTTCAGTGGGGCACCTGATGGCAAGACGGATTCTCATGTCACGCGCCAATTGTAGCGCTCCGCTCCGCGGGGCAGGAGGCCAGGAAAGGCTTGGGACCTTAACGCCTGGGAACTGGGAAGAGGTTAGCGTGTCGCGCCGACGCATCAAAAGGCCAAAAGCGGCGGATCGACACTCTACACAAACGCTTCTGGCCGTGAGGGGGTGTGAAGGCTGACGGGCCCTCCAGCTTATGCTGCATCTTCGATGGACCTGTGTCTGTCCTAGTGCGCCGCTGTCCGCGTCGAATCAGCGTCGAGTCCATGCCGAATGTCGAATCTGCGTCGCATCCACGCCGAATCCGCGTCAGATCCCCAAATCGAATCCACGTCGGGCGCAGGAAAAACGTGATCTGCAGAACAGGCAAAAGACCCGCCCCAAGATGCAGCGTGACCAAGCAGAGGGCGCATGGGAAAACAAAAAACACTGATACCGCTAATCCCCAGACGTCACCCAGGGTGCCACATTGACCAGAATCTCGAGCAGAATCCAGCTGTGGCGACGAGGGCTCTCCAGGACGAGCAGCGGCAGAACCATCCTGAGCCCCGACGTAACGAAAAAAACACAACATCGAGAGAAATCACAATCAGACCCCAAGACCCAGTCGTTCTGCGGCATCTTTCGAGCCGGACCGATCTGTGGGATCCCGAGACCTGATGGCGCCGTGGCGCACGGCGCTGCGCACGAAACTGAAGGGGAACAAAACAATGACCATGACATACCATGACCAAGACTGAATGCGGAAACAACGGTGACGATATTGCTCACCGCCCATCTCGGTGACCGTCAATTCGTGGAACATCCTCGCGAACCGGCGATGGCCGGCATGGACCATGGCCAAGATCGGCGTCGTCAGGATCCCACGCGATCCTGGTCGTGAACATCGCGTTTGCTCCCTCGAGGGACGGGCCTGGCGCAGCGCGGCACACGAGATCGATCACCGCCGCGTCGGCAGGCGGGGCCACCACCGCCTGCAGCGAGGCGCCGGCGCCGCCGCCGTCGGTCGCGGCCGCACGCCGCCGCCAACGCATCAGGAGCATCTGAGTGGAACACTGTTCGCCGTCTTCGGGCTCCAGGGGCCCTCGCCGCACGCTGGGGCCGTCCACAGAACTCGGGCTGACTGGACCCGATTCAGCGAGCCCCAAGCAAGAACTGATTGCAATGTGCATGTGTGAGCTATGATTATGTGGCGCAAGCTATGTGGTGTAAGCTATGTCGCGCAAGCTACGTGGTGTAAGCTATGCCATGTCGACAGCTGGGCCCCAAAGCGCGGCGGGCGGCAACGAGGCGCCCACGGGCGGCAACGTGGCGAAACTTCGGCTGATCCCCTTGTGAGCGGCAACGCGGCGCCTACGGGCGGCAAAGCGGCGAAACCTCGGCGGGCCCATCCAAATCCTCAGGGGCAAAAGTACGAGCTCCGAAATGCAAGCGCCGCCCGGGGAAAAAGCGTGAACATAAACGTTCGGAGGTCTGCGTGGACTCTCGGGTCTGACCTGTGCCCTCTTGCGCAGCGCGGCGCGTGGAGAAGCGCCAAGGGCGGCGCCGGAAGCACTGCCCGGGGGACCCAACGCCGACCCAAAAAGTCGGCGCGGGCGGACATGCATAAGTAGACACCCAGTATCTGAGACAACGTCGGCATCGGCGCTGTCGGCGTCGGCGGGGGGGGGCCCAAGAGCAGTCATTGAATTTTTGGATTTGAGGTCTGCGCGGTTACAACATGCCGGTTGTCATCCATTAACACGCGCGCACTTGTTCGCACGCAGACGCGCATACACAGATACATGGGCATGCGCACACCAACACATACACACATGCACATTTTGTTGAAACGACGCAGGCCACCATCATGCCTATATGATGACTCCTATAAATGCGAATAGGACCCCAAGAGGACTCCAATAAGAACGGCGCATACCAAGGAACGGCGGATTATTGTTGCACCCGGGCCTGACTCAAATGCGATTGGAGCATGACGGCGCAGACATCATATCCAGGACTCCAATGGAACTCCAGTTAGAGTCGGCCCGGAACTTGCAAGGCCCCAGCCTGTAGAACGCCCAAACGCGAGACCAATGCGGTTCGAACATTTGAATACGTTGGAAATTGGCGAAGTCCCAATCCTGAGATGACACTGATGGGGTCCCAAAGTGCTCGCAATTCAAAATTGCATGGGGATCGGCTAGGCCGCGAGCACGCGATGAAACCAACAACTTCCTTATGCGACCACAACCTCCAATCTCATTCCTCCCGCAATTCCGGGGTCCGCACTGTTATATGGAATTGAAAATACAAGAACTAGGCCAGGCAAGCCCGCTTGGCATGTCATGAGAATCCGATGCGAACTGACAGGCCCCACCCTTCAAAGCACGCTGAAAGCACTGCTATTGCAACCGGCACCAGACAGGCCCCACCCGCACAGGAAACCATTCCAACATCTGGTGATCATGAAACGGAAGCCATGGACCCTAGGCGTCGAGCTGCCGGCCCGAGATCTCAATCCGTGGTTTTCAAAAACGAAGCCGCGCGCCTTCATCCTTCGCGCCTGGGCCCCTTGAAGCGGATTATGATGAGACGTCAATGGGGGGGGAGGGGGGGGGCAGCTAATCCCATATCCATAGGGCTCACGTTGGCTATATTTGGCGACGCGCGCGCAGGGCAACCGCAATTAAGACCCGAGGGGAAGAGAGAAGGAAAGAGAAAGAGAGGACACGCAGGCAGGAGCCTCGAGAGCGCAGCGAAGCCGCGCAGGGCCCCTGGCAGCCGATGCCGCTTGCGCACAGCAGCGCTACCGCCGCAGCTCATCAAGAGGGATAGCTGACCGCGCAGCGGCTACGCTGCGCGCGACAGAAACACCTGCGAAGCGCAACCCTGGAGGAGAAGAGGGGCCACAGCCGCTACTGAACGCAGCGTGGCCCAAAAAGCAGCCCCCGCTAAGTGCCACGCTGACCTAGGCAGCGAATCGTCCTGCATCCTTCGCCCTGGCTACGAGGTGCTCCGCAACCAGCTCGAGGCCTGCGCGCTGATGCTCGGCGCAGGGCACCTCAGGCTCGGTGTCCTAATCCTTCTCCCAGCCAGGTCTGCGAAGGCTGCGCTCCTTGTCTAGCAGCTCCAGCTGCTTCTTGCGCCCCTTCTTCTCCTTGTTCTGCGCCGCGCGGAAGGCGGCAGCAGCTGCCTCCTGCTGGGGCCCGATTTCGTCGTCCTTCGCGCAAATCCCCTCGTCGAGCGCGTCCAAATCGAAGGTGTGCATCGCCTCCCCTGCCTGGACAGAGCATTGGCTTGGTGCCAGCGCCGCTTCTTTAGCGCCCCACTCGAGGGCGCCGAAAGGGCTGGTGCCAAGGCCACAGCCGCTGGCTGCCTCACAGGCGGTTCCGACACTGGGGACGCCGCGCTGTCCTGCACCTGCGCCTGCGCCAGAGCCAAGTTTTCCTGCTGCTTGCAGATGCGGTCCAACTTCACGCGCAGTCCTCTGCTGCTCGTTTTGGTGGGCCGCAGGCAAACAAACCGCTAGCGAGTCCGACGACCGCTCTGGCTGCCCCACCTCTTGCTGCACCCTTTCCGGGGGCTCCTCGAACCGGCCTTGGTCGTTGGGCTCCTCGACATGGCCCTGAACTCCCTCTTCTTGGCCTGCAGGGCCCCCACCTGCACCTTTTGCGGCTCCCGTGCCCGCGCCAGCTGCTGCTTGTACTCCTGCAGAGCTGGCGACGGGGGCAGACCGGCTGGGTAAGACATCAACGGGATTCCAAAAGTAATGGGCCCGGGGCCAAATCCAGATGATCTCTATCGCATTCGGATGTGATGTTTTATCCGGGATCCATGGAAACAGGGCATACATCACCCCCATGTGACTCTCATGGTTTTGGAAAGGATCCTACAACGATTTCAACAGGAAGTGGACACACCCACAACCAAGGGCTTGGCGTTGCGACCAGATAGGATGCCAGCAGGATCGGACCAGGAGAATCTGGAAATGGCCTGGATAGGATGCGAATCGGCCTGTAAAAAGATCTCAGCTGTGACGGGGCAGATCCCATATCCAAAGGATTCCGATTAGATTAGAACACGATGGCAAAATATTTCGCTCTGCGGGCAGACCCCACATGCAAGGGGTTCTTAGTTCTCGAAGAGTGTTTGCACTTCGAATATAAGATTTCTGTTATACGGAATTGGGCTGGCGTGTCGATCTGGCGGCTATGTGGCCGCCGTCGCCGACCAGTCGCCGCCTTGTCGCCGCCCGTCGTCTGGGTCTGTCTGTCGGTCGCCGCGCTTGATGCCGCCGTCGCTGCCCCGTCGCCGCCTCGTCGCCGCCCGTCGTCTGGGTTTGTCTGTCGGTCGCCGCATTTGTTGCCGCCGTCGCTGCCCCGTCGCCGCCTCGTCACCTCCCGTCGTCTGGGCCCGTTCGTCGGTCGCTGCGCGCTCGCCAGCTCCCGCTGCTGGCCCCCGCTGGAAGGCGCTCCAGCCGCGAAGCGGCCCCTTGCCCCCTGCGCCTCCAGCCGGGGGAAGTCCTCAGACGCCAGCGGCGACCCGCTGCTACTGGTCGGAAACCGCGCCGCGCCCTCTCCCTCAGAGGCTGCACCTCCTGCGGCCTCGGCAACGTCTGCTACCGCCTCTGGCCGCGCGACTCCACCATGAAGTTCCGCAGCCGCGCCTTGCGCTCCTTCGACGTCTCGCCGCCCTTCCTCGGGCAGGCAGCCCTCGCCGCCCTGAAGCTCAGCGGCGCCTGCGAGCCTCCAGCGGGCAGCTTCTCCGCGGCATCGTCGAGCTGCGCGACTCGCTGATGAGGCGGTCTCTCGCCCTCCTTCGCGCTGCCCTCCGGCGCCCTCGGGCGGTCGGGCGCGCGATTGCCGCGCGGCCGCGCCGTCGCAGGGGACGCCCCCCCTGCCGGGCCTGCAGGAGTAGGCGCCAGCAGCGGGCGCGCCTCCTCCCGGCCTCCACTTCAACCCTGAGGCTTGCGAAGTCGGCAGCTGAGCTCCTCCAGCTTCAACTCGCCGAGCTCGATGCTGCGGATCATCTCCTGCTCCTCGTTGCGCAGCGTGGTGGGCTCGTCCTTGGCGGGGATCAGCTCGAGCCACTTTGCCGCGCCCCAGTGCCCGTCGCCGACTGCCACCTGCGCCGCCTTCAGCCGCCGGGTCAAGATGTCCATCGCTTGAAGAATCTTGCCCTGGAGGAGAAGGTCGATCGCCCCGGCCAGCGCCCGCGTCTCGCGATGCGCAGCCACCCCGATCCGCTGCGCTGGGTTCTGCGGCAAATAGATCGTGAGCAGGTGCCTCAGCGCGAGCGCCGTCGTCGGGCCCACCGCCGCGTTGCCCTCGACGGCGCCGAGGAACTCTGCCATCTGCATCCGCGCGAGCTCCGACAACTTGCCGGGCTGGTCCTGCGCCATCTTCCTGCAGTGGGCCCGTTTGGTCGCAAGTCCCCCCGTGGCCGCGGCCCCGCCGGCCGCGCTGAGGGGGTCCGAGGCGGCGCCGGCGCCCGAGCTGCCATCCGCCTGCGCGGCCGAGCTCTTGGGCAGTCTTTTGCCATGCATATCCATATTAATGCAACGTACAAGGCGTTCTTTGCACACCCGCCGCAGGCACGCCTGGCAACGGCTGTGCCGCGCCAGGGTTGCCGAGAAGCAGTTGACTGCGCAACTTCCTTTGGTCTCCTTTCTGGTCTAGGAATATGCCCGCTCTTTCGGGCGCCACTGGCCCAGTCCGTCTCCAGCGTTTCGGCGCGTGGTTGGCTATCCTCTTCAAGACCTGCCACAACCAGCCGCGCGGGGCAGGCCAACGCTGTCACGAACGACGCCTCCTCTGTTTCCGACTGTGCGAAATCACCACGCGTACCTCTTGAATGCAAAGATGCACTGTGTCTGGTCGCATTCTGGGACTCCTTCGCACATGCCAACATTGCCGGAAGATGTCAAGCTAGGCTCTGAGAACCTGCTGTATTGGCCTTCAAAGAAGGGAGGAGACAACTGCCCCCTCTTTCGCGACACCGCCGGCAACCGCAGCTAAGCCGGGCGATTGCCCCCTTTTCCTCGAGCGGGCACTAACCACGGCCCAGGGGCGTGAGCCACCCGACCCCTGCGCGAGGCGCTCGTGGACTATCAGAGCGCACCTGCGAAGCCCCCTCTTTGGCCAAGCCACCACTGGAGTTGAGGCATGACGCAACCTGTTCCGAGGGCCCGTGAGGAACCGCCGGCAGTGTTCAGGGTGATCGATTCTTCCAATCGTTTGATCATACCCATTGCGCCTGCAGCACCACCAAGAACGAGCTCCTGGAGAGACTGTCGGCTGATAGCCAGTCTTGTGCCAAGCATATCCATATTAGCGCAACATGCAAGGCATTATTTGCACACCCGCCTCAGGCTCGCCTGGCAACGGCTGTGCCGCGCCAGGGTCGCCGAGAAGCAATTGACTGCGCGACTTCCTTCTATCTCCTTTCTGGTCTACGACTGAGTATGCCCACTCTTTCGGGCACCCCTGGTCCAGTCCGTCTCCAGCGTTTCGGCGTGTGGTTGGCTATCCTCTTCAGGACCTGCCACAGCCAACCGCGCGGGGCAGGCCAACGCTGTCACGAACGACACCTCTGTTTCCGACTGTGGGAAACAAAACGCGTACCTCTTGAATGCAAAGATACACTGTGTCTGGTCGTATTCTGGGACTCCTTCGCACATGCCAAAATTGCCAGAAGATGTCAAGCTAGGCTCTGAGAACCTGCTGATTTGGCCTTCAAAGAAAGGAGGGAGCAACTTGAGCACCCCCATGCGCGCCGTCGCCAGCTCCTTCACGCCCTCGCCCGCAGCTCCCCCGCTGGCCACAGCCGCGGCAGCTGGGCCGCTTGAGCCGCGCGCCGCCTCGGCGCCGGGGGCCTTGGCGACCTTCGCCATGCGCTCCGCGAGCACCTCGGCGAGGCCCCGCTTCTTCGGCTTGCCCTCGCTCGGCGCTCCCTCTGCGCTGCCTAGAAGTGCGCCAGCCGCAGCGGCCCCAGGCGCTGCCGCGGCGAACCGGTCCCGCGCCGCAGCGAGTCTGGCCCGCAGCTCGTCCCGCGTGGGCTCCAGGTCGAGCGTGAAGCCTGCAGCCCGCGCGGTCAGGGCACTGTCGCCGAGCAGCCCATCGAAGGGAGCGTCGTGGCCCACGGTCGTGCGCTTGGCTGCGCGTGGCCCTGCTGCCCCAGGTGTCGGCGGCGCAACACTTTCCTTCTGCGGGCGCGCCGACCTGCGTGGGGCGGCCAACCGCGCCGCACGCGGCCCCAGCAGGTCCGCGGGCCAGCCCGCCTCGGGATTGCGGGGCAATCGGTTGGAGAAGACCTCGGCGATGTCCTCCGCCTCCAGCCTGCAGGCGTCCGAGACGTGGATCAGCTCGTCGCAGCCCGCAGGAGCCTCCACGCCGCACGGCTCGTCCGTGCAGATGTGCAGCAGGGCGCTGGGAGAGATCCCGCCCGCAACGCCTGGAGACGCCGCCCACCAGTCCCAGTTCGCGTCGTCGCTGAAGAAGAGCCTCGCACGCACGAGCTGCTCGGAGCCGGCTATCACCCGCAGCGCCAGCCACACGAAATCGCACTGCTGCTCCCCATCGTCGCTGAAACCTGTACTCAGGTGGAACCAGTTCGGCTCGATGACAATCGGCTCGGCGGGCGACGGCTCCAGCTCCTCCGAAGCGGCCGCAGCCTCGTCGTCGTCCTCGACGACCTCGAGCCCCAAGCCGTCGTCGAGCAGTTCCCCGACCGAGGCGACGACGCCGCCTCCGCGAGCAGCATCCATATCACGGCCTGGAGTGCGCTCGTGCTCGGCGCACCGAGCGCACGCAGCGCGCCGTGGCACAGGCCCGCCGCCAGGCCGCGAGACGGCGTCCCGCGGATGCCACGGCGCACTGCGACCCTCGCGCCGCGGCGGGCCCACCACCGCGACGCGGGAGAGGGGAGCCTGGCTCGGGGCCCAAAACTCGCGAGCCAGAACAGCTCTGGAACGGTGGGTCGACGGCATAGGGGATACACGCACCAAATGGTACGACCATACAAGCCAGTATACGGATATACATGTAAATACAAAGGTTGTGAAATATATGTGGCGCGACAGATTTACATGGTGTACATTCTTTGCGGCGCAGCACATGTTGCGCACTCTATATACGATGCGCAACCCATGTGACGGGACAGTTGCGCTTCAATCTACGCTGTGCAATCTAAGTGGCGCAGCGAAAGTGTATCCATCGACGTGGCGCAACCTATGCTGTGCACCCTGCGCGGTGCAACCCACGTAGTGCAATAAATGTGGTGCAAACTATGATTTGCAAGGTCTGTGGTGCACCCTTACGTGGTGCAATATATGCGGTGTAATCTTTGTGGCGCAACCTATACTGCGCAATCTATGCTGTACGTTCCAGGGCAGCGACGGGGCGGCGACGGGAAGGTACGGCGGACACACAGCCGCCAGACCGAAAACACGGCCTGGGTTCTCATGACAAAAATCAGGAACCCGAAGTGCAAGCACTGTTTGGGGAATGTTTAAAGAAAGCGCAAAAACTACAAGCCAAAAGCACAATAGCAAAAGCCACTAACCAACACTAAACGTTGAGACGTTCTGCGAAGGTGTAGATCTACAAACATCAGACAAGCGAAATCAAGTGTAGACTGTTTGTGCTCTAGTTGCACGCTTTAGGAATCGCAGAGAGTCAGACAAATACCAAGTGCTCACACTTTGGAAGCAATCATAATATGAGTTTAGATGTGCGGGGTCGCAGAGTTTCTGATGCTGGTTGCTTTTCTCTTGCTTGATGTGTTATTGCTTGTCTTGGTCATTAA